AGAGAGAGAGAGAGAGAGAGAGCATTGTAATGGGAAAGTAGATCACAAATGTTTTTCTATAAGTGTTCAGAGAAAATACCAACAGAAGGGGTTCAGTGGTGTTGGCTGTGCAGGAGTTCATGGAAATATTTGAACAATTTTCTTTTGTGGAAGAAAACACGTTGGGAGTAGAAATTCGTTGTTTAATTTTTGATTGGGGTAGGAATATTTTGACAAAAATGGCTCCCACCATAAGATCAAGAGCTCAAATAAAATGTAGATGGTGCGATGGGAATAATATAACAAAGGAGCCATTTTTTTCTTCTTCTGCACGATTGGCTATGTAGATTAGTAATGTCCAAGCGTGGACAAGGAGAGGACGATGGAACTATTTACCCATGGAAGTGACGAAGCGCCATGAACAAAAATATATATTATTACTAAAAGAATATATTACCATGGCCCCCGGGCCATGAACAAAAAATATATATTATTAATAAAAAATATTTAACCGGCCATTAATTGCGACCAGCCATGAACAAAAAATATATATTGTTAATAAGAAATATTATTAATAAAAAATATTTTGTTGCATATTCTCGCTTTCAATTTTGAACAAAAAAATATATTATTAATAAAAAAAATATTTAAGGCTCATGGCACGGGACCAGTCATGAATAAAAAATATATATTATTAATAAAAATATTTTACTGCAATGGGGCCTCTACCATATAAAAAAGAAAAAATCCTTTTTAATAAAAAATATTTATTAATAAAAATTATTTTACCGTCGCGCAGAGCATAAAGGAGGAGAAAAATAAAAAAGAAAGAAAGAAATATTTAAATATTTGAATATATTATTAAAATATTAGGTTAATAAAAGAAATTTTGTAATGCTTTGTTTGCAATGAAAATTTTAATTCCTAGCAAAAATTTTGAAAACAAACGCCTTAAATCACATAATGCTTTTCTAATAAAAGAATGCAGAGAAAATACTTACAGGGCGCGAGAATCGTTAAATGGTGTAGTTTCATGACAGTTTATTCCTGTCATGTTCAGGCAATGCCTTGTGCTGATATTTACAATCCTCTACATCCAACAGCAAAGCTTGCAACATGTTTCTTTCTTATAGATTGTCCATAAGATCCCGATTGTCCAATTCTCCACAATCGGCCACATATATTCAACAATACCTATTAGTAGCAAATCTTTCATAAGGACAATAATATTTTTCAAGTGTTTGTAAATTGGATGTACCTGTCTTAGCTACTTTTTTTGAAAGAATTTTCGTTAGTTCTCATAACTTAAAAGTCCTATCTTTGCTAATTTTTCTATGAGATTGTAATTTTCCTCGAAATGCTCATACCTTGGCCCTTGGGGATTCTTATGGTTAGTAATTTCACCAGTGAAATCATTGTTCTCCTCATGTGCATGTATTAGCGACGGATCTATCTATTACTAGTAGATAAATTCCGTATATGATGTGAAAGATAATTAGGGATTTCTTTATGTTATAGATATTATGATAATTATGTTGATTCTTTATATGTCTCAACATTGTGTATACATCTTTATTTGATTGTGCATATCTTGATTAATATGTTATCCTAAATAGTCATAGTCATATACTAAAGCCTATAAATATGCTCACGTATTCTTTTTCAACGTATATTGAAAATTCATCAATTCACTTTTCCGCTTTTTCTTATCTATGAGAATGAGATCGCAATTCTCTGCAAGTGCTTGCGACCACGAGACTTCTATCATTAGTAAATTTTTATGAATGGTAAATTTCGGTGCTCGCTACTTTGAAGTAACTTTTTCTTCATGACTTCTCTGTGAAGGATTGTAATTTTCCTAGAATGTTCCTAGCTGGACTTGTCGACCAAGTAGTTAACAGAACCATTTCACGGTCCACATTTTCGTCGTCTAGGGACCACGGAAGGACCTTTGCGTACAGACCAAAAAAAAACATATTTGCATTGTGCCGACACTTGAAAAGGTTTAGATGAAAGCAATTCAATTTTTTTTCTTCTTTCGAAAAATTTTCCTTTTGCTTTTCCACTGTAATTGAACTCTTTATTAAAGTCCAAAACTCAACAGATGTAGGGATGACATAGATTGGCAGAGCACATCGCTTTTAGGCTAACCACTTCAGGATCGAAGCACTCTCGTTGGATTAACTGAGATTTTCCAGTAAACCTTAAAAATAGTTGGTCGGATGCTACGTGATGCAATTCAAGGTCGGTAAAACATTATGTTGTTTTAGCTTTCACGTATGACTTTCGGGAGCTCCTCATCTTTCATTTTCTTGGGAAAGCATTTATGGCATTTCTCCCAAGTCCCAAGCAGTTCCCTTTAGGCAGGTCGACGTTGATTTCTAATAAATGTTTCCGTGGAAGACAAGATTTCTGGTGGATAATTCAATGTGAATAATATGCAGTGCGAAAGTGTTGAATCGGAGGAATGAAGGCCACCGGACAGCTGGTGGCAAACTCAGTGTGTTTCACATTGACCGACACCAAAAAATGAGAGGTTGATGGCGCCTTGGAGGCTCGGAAAGAAAGAGTAGCAGGTGGGGCGGATGAGAAAATTAATTGATGAATCTATGCTTTTTAGTAATGGGATGGTGATCGTCGTCTCTATTGTACTCCCTCTTCATTTGAGAGGTTAGAATGGTCGACTGAATTGAATTTGCTTTGTCCGGGGCATTATGGTTAGTTGTCACAATTTAAAAATCGCAAAATTGGTGGCATCATTTGGTAATCCAAAAATCAAAGAGAACTGAGAACATGATGCGTCCAACAGTTAAATTTACTATCTTTTTCATTTATTAAAGTCCATAAATTATTATACAAGTAAATTGTCGACGTGCTTGCACACAAAAAGAGAGCATAATTCGTTAGAGCAATGAATTATACTTATATAATGAAATAGGTTTTACATATAGATCTAAAATCGATATAGTGGATCTATTTTATTAGATAAACAAAAATGGTTCTCCAAAATACTTTCAATGGTGGCTGATATATGGCACTTTCCATGAGTGACATCTATCTTACTTTTCTTTTGAAAAATTTTCCTTTTGCTTTTCCACTGTAATTGAACTAATTTTTAATTTTAGTTCAAGAGGCATATGAATATAATTAGTGTCGGTATAGCTATTATGTTCTTTTTTCTTCCTATTTTTCACCTTGCTTTTAGACTATAAGAAGGCATCTCAAATTCCCAATCCGGACATATAAAATATATGAAATGACAAATTTACTTCATCTTCCTGCCTTGTCTCAAGATTTCCCATCTCCCTCTTTACCAGCGACGCTATAAAGACAGCGCAGAGATAGTCAGTAGCCTGGACAAGTAGATGTCAATTTGTGATAATTGTTTTCGTCGAAGATAAGGATTACGTTATCTCTTGTCAATTTCTACGGGTTCTGCACAGAACTTGAATTAGAGTGTATTAAGGCTACTCGGACAAAACTTCGGACGGACGATTCGGGGAACGTACAGATTTTCTCGGGTGGTTTAAGCCTCTTTTCCCTTTTTTTTTCTTTTGAACAGCTGGAGGAGATCAGCGTGTTTCACATTGATGCCAAAAAGAAGAGGCTCGTGACTTTGCAGACATGGAAAGAAGAGCGGTACGAACGGATGAGGAAAGTGACAAAGGTGCCTTGGGAGCACTCAGATAATATATTATGTGCGTTTCTTTACAGCTCACTCAAGCACTCTGAATTCAAGATGAGACGGAGGGACTGCAGGTTTAGTGAGTGAAGTAGAGAGGCCTCTGAGTTTCACTGCATCTGTTCATGGACATTAAGTAGAAGAAAAGTAAAAGAGGAAAGGGAGAGAGATAGGTGTGTGTCCTCGATTCATGAGATAGAAAGACAGATTTTTCAATTTGTATAATACAACGATAGAAAAAGCCTCCAATAGATGCAGTGTAGGGTGTAATTACTTGTCACAATGCATTGCTTGTGACTCTAATCACGAGATCACCATTCATCGTCCTTCACTCAATTAACTGTGAATGAAGTGGTTTTGGTCATTTTTCATTCCGGTCTAATTGAGATACAACTCCACCGTCCCCCCCCCTCTCTCTCTCTCTCTCTCTCTCTCTCTCTCGTTGTGGCCTCGCACGAAAGGAGTAGTGGGTTCTTTCGGTAGGAAAGAAAAGGAAAAATAACGAAAATAAATTAAAGAAAAAGGAAGGATAAAGGGAAAGAGAAAGGGGGGGGGGGGGGGGGGGGAAAGAAAGCATCTATAGATGTGATGCGAGATGTGACACAAATAAATGGAGCATAACATCTTATTATAAAATGAAATATGTTTCTTGGAGCTATGAATTAAGATTATAAAATGAAATATGTTTCATATATAGACCTAAAATGAATACAACGAATCTATCTTATTAGATAAATGTAAAAGTAGTTCTTCAAGACACTTTCAATGGATGACTGACACGTGACACTCACTATGACTGATGTTTATCTTAACTTTTTTTTTGAAAATTTTTCCTTCTACTTTTCCACTATAATTGAACTATGTATTTTTTGGCTTTCATTCAATGGGTGTATAATTACTTTTCCACTATAATTGAACTATGTATTTTGAATAATTACTTCTTGTGATCACGGTAATATAATTATAGTGGCAATATAGCGATTATGTTCTTTTGGAGAAATATAGAGTGAGAAAATTAATTTGTTCTAGAAATATAAGAACGAAATTACATTATAAAACGAATTTTTGTTTCAAATATGTTTATGAAAGAAAAAATTTTTTGGCTAGAAATAAAATAATTATCATGCTTTAAAATAGCGAATGGAAGAATCAATCAGAAAGCTGTGAAAGGAATTATTTTTACTCAATTAAAAAGCGCGTGCATAGCACGCGTGCATAATAGACACCCCTAGCATTAAAAAAAGAAAAAAGAACAAGCGTGCGCACGACGCAAACTCCAACAACCGAGTATACGAAATATAAAACCACAAACGTATTTGGAGAGAATAATAAAATGTCCATAAACGTCGAATAATGAGGTCTCGCCTCCTGCTTTCACTTTTGCCTCTTTACCAGGGACGCCTCCTACCCACAGCTCAAACCCTAGCAGCCGAACAGAGCCATCCTCTCCTCTGTTCTCACCCACGCTAAAGCCCCTGCTTCATCCACCTCTGTGAGTCTCACAGAGAGAGAGAGAGAGAGAGAGAGTCGTGCGCTGTAATGGAAGACCATCCCTCGACACGACAACTCAAGCGAGCTGAACTCACCCAAGCTGCTTCGACTCCGACCATGTCGAAGCGACCAGGACCTGACGTCCTCGAAGAAAGGTCTGATTTACAGCCCGAGCGCGTGAGCGAATCGCCTCTTCTTCTTCCCTCTTCGGACTCATCGGAGAAGATCCACGTGCCGTTGGCGTACGGAGCGAATTCTGACCCATCTGCTTCGTCCACTCCTGTGATTGGAAACAATTACCATGTATTCTTGAGCTTTAGAGGCCCCGATACTCGCAATGGCTTCGTCGATCACCTCTACCATAAACTCAAAGATGTGGGCCTGAGGTTCCATCCAAACTTCGCGTTCAGAGATGATGAGGACCTCCCCTTCGGTGAGGACGTTGCTGCAAATCTTGTCAGTGCAATCAACCACTCTAAGATTTCAATCCCGGTCATCTCGGAAAATTATGCTGCTAGTCAATGGTGTCTCCGCGAGCTCATTCAAATAGTGGAGTGCGTTGAAAGAGGAGAGCAAAAAGTCCTGCCCGTGCTTTACAAGGTGGAATGTAATGATGTGCGAAACATGCTGGGAAAATTCGGAGATGCCTTCCGACGCCGCAAGCATAGATTTGATAAAGAGGTCAAGCGACAAGGGAAGGAAGCGCTCAAAAAAGTACTTGACTTTAGAGTATTCGAATCAGAGAAATTTGCTAGTGGGTACGTAGTTTACCTTGTTTTCATATATTCTTGTCGGAAGAAGAATTTTTCAATTTATCATCCGTAATCCTTGTTTTGTGGAGCCATTAATAAGTTCTCATCTGTTGTTTGTTGGACAGGCATGAGGGGAAATTAGTGAAGGAACTCCTAGAAATAATAATGCGCGAGCAGCAACATAATTTTCAACCACATCTTCCCCTGAACTTGGTTGGAATTGAGGATCGTGTGGCTGAGGTTATGAAATTGATGGATATTGCTCGTCCTGACGCTCCAATTGTTGGGATTCATGGGATAGGGGGTATTGGTAAGACAACTCTGGCTACGATCATCTATAACAAACTTTTTGACAAATTTGAGTGGCGCAGCTTTCTCAAGGATACTAGGGAAACAATTAATCGCGAGAGTATCAAGCATGTCCAATCTCTACTAATCTCAGATATAACAAAAAGCCCTACCAGTAGTGTACGTGATTCTGATATAGGGATTGGAAAAATCCGATCAAGTTGTGAAAATAAGAAGGTACTTATTCTTCTTGATGATGTGGATCATCCGGACCACCTTGATAAATTAATTGGAGGTTGTAGTTTCGGGTCGGGAAGTAGGATCATCATTACGTGTCGAGATAAGGCCCTCTTGAAGTCCGAATATAAAAGGTATGAACTCAAAGAAATGAATAGGGAAGACTCTTCGCATCTGTTTAGCATATGTGCATTTGAAGGCAAACCACCTCCAAAAGAACTAGCGACTCTTTCTCATGATATCGTTGCCACCACTGGAGGGCTTCCCTTAGCTCTCACGGTTATAGGTTCACGTCTCAAAGGAGAAGAAAATCAAGATATATGGGGAGAAATGTTAAAGAAATTGAGGAACGCGCCTATTAAGACAGTACTACAAAAGTTGAAGATAAGTTACGATTCATTAGAATATGAGGAACAACAAATGTTTCTAGACATAGCATGTTTTTTCATTGGAACTGACAAAAGAATTGCCACCTTCTTATGGGAGGATCTCAAATTCTACCCAAGAATCGGATTGCAAATATTGATTAACCGTTCGTTAATAAAAATTGATGATCAGAATCAGTTGAGAATGCATGATCAACTAAGAGATTTAGGCAGAGCTATCGCCTGTCCAGTAGATAAGAAGCCTTGGCATTGTAGCAGACTATGGGACAACGAAGCCGCCATGAAAGTCCTACGACGCAAGGTAACAATGGCGTCTACTTTTGGCCTATCTCATGTTCTCTAATGGTAGTCCCTAATTATTATTGTTTCTGCTCTTTTGCTTTAGATATTTGACCATTCTCAACATGCTGTTAGCATTTTCTTGGTAAAAGCTACATCCGATTTCGGCCTTTTGTTCATGAAAAGTTTGCATTTGTGATTATGAGGCTCAGAAAAGAGCTATTAAAATTGTGTATTATTAACTCTTTCTATTTTGCTCGTGTCGTTTTAAAATCATTTTCTAGCAGATTTAATACTGCTTCTTACTATATTACTTTTTGAAGACCAAGCATCACACAGGTTTGAAAGTTTACTTTAAGCCACTTATAAATCTGGTCCCTCACACTCTAAAACGCACAAGAGTCATTATAACCTTATGCCGATTGGTTTATATTATTCAACCAAACAACAAAAGCTTTACTGTTGATCATTACTTTGTTGACTTTCATTCTATGTTCCCAAAATATATCATCAATTTATTTTTGAAGTACGTTGTCGCGAGGATAAATACATGGATCACATATAATCCACCCTTTTCACTCTTGAAATCTTACTTTCATATGATATATGTGATAGTCTCCTTCTCCAAAAATTGAATACATTATTCTATCTTCAAATTCCAACCGTGAATGCATGCAATTTGCTCGTGTGCGGGTTCTACTAACTTTTGCAACAAAAAGAAAGATTTCAGTTAAGTTATTTGCACCTCAACTATTGGCTATCAACTTAAGATTATGTTCAATTTCAAGTAATAAGATGTTATGCAGTGGTTTTATACGTATGAAGAATTTTAACAATTTGTTTTCTAGGATTTATTATGCATGTTCACGATGTAAATCCAATATGATAATGTAAATGTAGAACTACGTGTACTTAATACAATGAAAAGTAAAGATTTAGTTTAAATTGTATTATTCAGTGAATGTTATTAACGTAATTGAAGGAAGCACCATGAAATATATCAATTTTTTGAGTAATTTAGAAATACATAAGTATGTTAATAACATGGTTGGGTTAGTTGATAACTTGAAACAGCACTACATAACTTGGATGCCTCTTAGTCAATAATAAATAGAAAACTCTTATTTTTCTTTTCACTTAAAGGACTGGTAAATTTAAAAATAAAAATTTAATTCAAATTCTCTTTTGGCTTTTCTTTTATTGTCGCCTATATCAACTTACAGTCAAATTAACAAATTACATAAAAAAAAATTGGAAGATTGTTCAAAATACATTAATTATAAAGGAAGTGGCATAATTAACGATTTTTAGTTTTAATTATGAGCTCTGCATGTGTACGATGGATCAATCATGTTCATTCATATGAAAGATGAGAACTCACGGGATTTTGAAATGTGATGCGACGTCACAAGGCTATTCTATTTCTACCCAGCTTTCATAATATATTCTTGTGTTTATACTGGTGCTATGCATGGATCTAGTCATAGATATTTTGAGCACATAATTCAACATTAACAAATGATGTGCAAAATCAAACAACAGTAAATTACGACATAAGAAACTAAATAACAACGGGCATATGATTTTGTACATATTCATACAAAGTAATTTCCAATAAAAAAAATGAAAAGCAAAGATCGAAATTAAGAAATTAAATGATTGTAGGAAGTAAGTGACGGAGTAGTGAAAGGTGAGAGAAATTGTGTTCTTCTGGTTTTATTTGTCTTTAGTGTAATATGATATCCACCTCTATTTTGTAATGAACAAGCCTTCTTGGTAAGTATAATTGTGTCCTTACGCGCGCGCGGACAAAGAAGAGACAAAAATCTATTGTTAGATATTAGCGAAGAAAAACATTATAATTAACATATCAAATAAGATAACTGGAGGAGTAAAAAATAAATGAGAGAATGCAAAAAGAGGTAAACGATAATAATCGCTAACCTTTATTTATTAATTCATATATTTTTGTATGAATTGGTGAATGCAAAAATGCACGAACAAATTCTTAAGATCGGGCCTAATTTTATGACTGATTGGGGCAAATTCAATGATGACTAATTGAGTAGTGTGCTCATCTTAGGGGAAAATTACCTAATCAGTCCTAAATTTGTTGTGCGGATGTCCATTCAATCATAAACTTATCAATTTTGCTAATTAGTTCTAAACTTTTGTGCAAAATTTCAATGTAATCCTTCCGATCAATTTTCGCCAGAAATCACAGACGATCCAATCATTTGCAACCGTCTTACATAGCACACTATCACGTTAATGATTTCCAGTAAAAATTATCTGGGATGACTAAATTG